ACCTACTTCCCTGTACCCCTTAAAGCTGAGTTTGAATCACACTCCCCTGTTTACATCCTCAAGAGTCCTTCAATGTGGCATCTGTCTTCCACCTGCCTGGCTTTCGGTCTTGCTGGCCAGATCCAAATAAGACACACGTTCTCCCCTGCCCAGCAAGCTCACTGAGACTGTCCTGGCTGGGGAGTAGCCTCAGCCACCAGCACAGCACTTGTTGGAAGCCTCAGATCCACAAGCAAGGCCTGGCATAGAAAGAAGATGCTGAGAAGAACAACTCTCCACGCCTCTCCCGAGTAGCCTTGTCTGGAGAAGGACAGCTGTCTGCTAGCATGGGTGTTGTGTGTGTGCAGCAGAGCATGAGTATGTTGAGGGCAGGGAGAAATTTTAGCTGGGGAAACAGGGAAAGGTTTGAGGGAGGGGGGCTTGGAGGGTTCCTCTCAGTTCTCTGCTGCTGACAGTACTAGGAGGATTGTGCAGTGGAAATCCCAGCCCTCCCCCGATCAAGGAGCAAACCAGGACCAGCTGTTTGCAAGGCAAGCTCCTTAACCCCCGTACTATCTCTTTAGTTCTGCTCACAGGGTAACTAGCCGCTGTCCAGGGGCAAAAAAGGCATTTGATTTTGCTGGGGTTTCCTTTTAGAGCCACAGAGCTTACTCCTGGTTCTGTGCTCAGAGATTACTCCTGGTGGGTTCAGGGAACCCAGTGGGGTGCCAGGGATCAAACCCGGTGGCTTCGTGCAGGGCAAATGCCCTACCAACTGTAGTATCTCTCCAGCCCCCTCAAGAGGCATTTGAAAGTGAGGCAATTTCGTGTGTGGAGGAATGGCAGTCTGAAAGCTTTGGGTGGAGAAGGAGAGAAGTCACAGAGACAAAGAGAGCCTTGAGATCAGATTATTTTATTACAGTATTTGCATTCCTTCTGCCCGCACCTGAGAGTCTCACCAGATGAGCGGGGGCTGCATCTCAGCTTTCATTGCTTCACACCTGACACCTGCTTGGGATGATACTCTCTGGACTCAAATCCTTGCAGTGAAGAAGGCAGTGATGAGGAGAGTGCCCCCTTGTGGCTCCTGTGTATGCCATCTCCTCTTACTCGGGGCAGCTGCTCACCTCTACCCCTCCCTGAGATGGGGAAGTTCCCTTCCACCAACCAACAGAGACTATGCATTTCTTTGGAGTTGATCACTACCTGAGGCACTGGGGTACGAGTTTAATTTATTGTTATTTCAGCCCTGACTTAATGCTTAGAGAATCAATGTCAAATGGGGTCCCAGAGCTGGGGGCTGGGACCATAGGAGACTGTTCAGAGCTTCTGAGAGTGGATGAAATGTTGGCAATGAGGCAAAGCTCTGGGCCCTGGGAAATGGAATCTGTAGCCCAGGGCTAATGCTTCTGATGATGCTACCTACTCAACATTTGGTTCCTGAACCATTCACTCCACTTACTGTGGCCCCAGCGATGGCAAGATGCCAGCCCAACAGGAAGGCAGATAAGCAATGGGAAAGCAGGTGTGTGTGCCCAGGATCCTGATAGCAGATACAAGTCCTGAGTAGGGGTGCCTCCCACTTAAGGGTGAGAGGATTTGGGGGACAAGAGCCAGTTTCGGCTGAAAGATGAGAAATGAGGAGGTGGGCCAGGCTAAGAGAATAAATATACAAAAACAGAGACATGAAAAAGTCACCTGTTCGGGGGTATGGTGCCGCCAGCAGGTCAATCTGTACCTGTGAGGCGAGTGCATCAGCAGCCTCATGGCGCCTTCAGACTTCCATATACCCCAAAATTGCTGCTGTGCCTTTGGCCAGACCACAAAAACTTGGGGCAAAGTTTACCAAGAAAGTAAACGGCCAAAAGTTAGGTATGTGGGAAACACACCCACAAACCATCTCCTGCTCAGCTATATAACTGGAGGCATGGCCTCTCTGGTTCCTGATTGAACTGCTTAATAGCCATGATCCCAGAGACTCAGAAACAAATCTCGAAACCCAGTGGATTTTGGCAGAAATGCGTCTGGTCCCTGCAGTAGGTTACCAGTGCTGGGCCAACCCAGGTGGGAATAGGTTTCGTGCCTTGGCCTGTTCCCCCCGGCAGCCCAGTGGCCGTCATCCTTCAGAGGCCACCGGACAGTCAGGTTTGGGCCCCCAGTGATGAGACACGCAGGGCCTCACGGGATGGGGGCGGGGGAGCCGGTCCTCTCCTCCCCACTCCAACAAGACCCCAAGTCATCGCCCACGAACAGCCTCTCTGGCTCCTGATCAAGCTGCTTAACGGCCATGATCCCAGAGACTCAGAAACAAATCTCGAAACCCAGCAGCTTTTGGCAGAAATGCGTCTGGACCATGCAGTAGGTTACTGTTGCTGGGCCACCCCAGGGGGAAAAGTGCATTGTCCCTCCACCTGCTCCCCCTTGGCGGCTCAGTGGCCGTTATCCTCCAGAGGCCATTGGACAGTCAGGCTTGGGCCTGCAGTGACGAAACTTGTTGGACTTCACAGGATGGGGGTGGAGCCGGGCCTGTCCTCCCCACCTCAACGAGACCCCAAGTCATCGCCCACGAATGGCCTCTCTGGCTCCTGATCAAGCTGCTCAACGACCATGATCCCAGAGACTCAGGAGCAAATCTCGAAACCCAGTGGCTTTTGGCAGAAATGCCTCCAGATTTAAGTGTTAAAATTTCAGAATTTCAAAATCACATGGTCCTACTTCAGCCACGCGACATCATATGTTATTCATAACCAGCAATAGAACACAAATTGTCTACTGTTGCCTTTTCAGCAGATCCTAGTGTTGGGGTAAAATCTCAAATAATAATGGTGGGTCTGGTGTCGAAATATTCAATGTGATCAAAGTAGAGAGAGAGTAATGTGGAAATCATCTGCCCCACAGGTAGGGGGAAGGTTTGGGATGGGGGTATACTGGGGCTTTTGGTGGTGGAGAATGGGCACTGTTGAAGGTACGGGTGTTTCATTGTATGACTGAGACTTAGACCCGAAAGCTTTATAACTGCTCTCACGGTGATTCAATAAATAAAATTATAAAAAATGAAAAAAAAAAGTCATCTGTTAAAAGGACATTTGTTCTGGGTGCCAGCAAGTTTCTGCTCTTTTTTTTTTTTAAAGGGTATTTTTTGGGGGGCCACACCCAGTGGCACTCAGGGCTCACTCCTGAATCTGCACTCAGGGATCACACCTGGTAGGGTTTGGGGGACCATATGGTATGTCAAGGATCAAACCTGGATTGGCCATGTGCAAAGCAAGTACTCTACATGCCAAACCATTGCTGCAGCCCTATTTTCTCATTTGTGTGTGGTCTGGAACCCAGGGGTCTCACACGAGGTAACTGGTCTTGAGTAGTCACATTTCAAAACAACCAAAAGATGAACTTCTCCAACTGTGTACCTGCTTTCTGGATGTGAGGCTTCGAGATTCATGGTCACCTCACATATATGTATAGTTGTGCCTGCTGTACTTCAGTCATTCCTTATTATTGGTATGGGGCCCACATCTTGCTAGGCTTGGTGGCCATGTGGTTCCAGGGATCAAATCTGGAGTCCTACAGATGCATAAGCTCTACCTCTTGAAGTATCTCCCAAGCCAGTACTTCAGCCATCTAAAAGCAGTCCCAGGGCTGGAAAGATAGTTCAATGGGTAGGCACTTGCCCTGCCCATGGCCAACTTGGGTTCCATCCTCAGCATGCCATATGGTTCCCTGAGCATCACCAGGTGTGATTCCTGAGTGCAGAGTCAGGACTAACCTCTGAGCATTGCTGGGTGTGGCCCCCAAAGAAAAGCAAACCAAAAAAATTAAAGCAGCCCCGATGTCGCACCTCACTTTCTGTGTCGCACTCATCATATCCTACAACCATCTCATTTGTCAGACAAGGCTGGATCCCTGGCATGAGGTACCAGGTTCTCCCATACCAGCCCCTTAGCCAACGCAGTTTGCTCTCTGGAGAATGCAGGTGAGAGCCTGCAATGCAGAGGTGTGTGCTGAACAGTAAAATGTGTGAAGCAGATATTGGTGCTTGTGCACTTATCTCTTGTCTATGTGGCACATCTGGAAGTACATGGGAACCAGGTGGTACCAGGGAGGGAAGCTGGGCCTCTGACACAACACAGGAACATTAGTCCTTGGAGCTATCTCCCTAATATGTATCCTGTCAAAACAGAATCTAGTGACAGGCACACAGAAGTATAATACACATAGTACTTAGGGAGTAAACTTTCACACACACATAAATCGTTTAGGGTTATACTGGTGGTACAAAGGACTTACTCCTGGCTCTGTGCTAAGGGATCACTCCTGGCAGGTTAGGGTGACAATATGGAATTCCGGAGATTGAACCCCAGTCAGCCACATGCAAGGCAAGTTCCCTACCTGCTGTACTGCTGTTCTAGCCCCTGTATAGTTTTTGGTGTTGGCTGGCAATGCCCTTCGGAACATGGGTGCAAAGTGGTTCAGTTCAGCTCTGAATAGGGCCTGTGGAGCAGCTACATTCCTATCCAGGAGCCAGTGATCCTGGGGGTAGAAAGGAGACAGTGGTATGCTGTCTCCCCTCTTTTGGCACAGATAAGACCCTGTCCACAACTTCCACACCAAAGAGGGAGGGGATGAGAATCAGGGTTCATGCCCGCCTGCTCCCCACCCCCCCACCACGACATACACACACACTACGGTTAAGAGTCAAGACTCTGCTGACTGGACAGGTTCAGACTACGCCACAGCCAGGGCCGCAGTCCAGGGTGTTCTCAGCCCTCCCCTCTGGTGGTCAAACTTGGCAGCTCTCCCAGGCCTCACAGGGGCCAGGAGCAGTTTCGGGCAGGTGGGAGAACCTGCTAAACTATGGGGCCAGGCACAGGCCCAACCGGTTGGACAGGGTGTCCTCCCCACTCTCCCCCAGGCCCATAGAACAGAGGCAGAAGCCTCCCAGAACAAATCACTTTATTACCCAGCAGGGAGGCCAAAGGCCTATGGAAGTGGGGGGTGATGGGAGGTGAGGGATAGTGTGGTGGGTTCTGGGGAGCAAGCCCTGCCAGGAAGGGGCTCACTCATGGGGACAGGAGGAGGCGGCAGCACACATTCAATATGCAACCACTTTCCATTCCTTTCACCCACTTTCGCAGCATTAAATAAACATAACTCTGTACAGCGCAAAATATACAGGGGGCCCCTGCCCCGACCCAGCCTGTGCAGAGTGGGAGGGCAGTGGGGAGGACAGAGAAGGCCTCTAGCTTGCAGTGCACTGGCCCCTCCCCAAGGCCAAGGCAGGAAGGCAGGCAGCTCTGACCAGGAGTAAAACTTCACAACTTCCTCTGAAATCGAAGTGGGTAGGTAGGTCCAGCTCTGCTGTGACTCCCGGATCAGAGGTTTTTCTGCAGCTCCCAGACCCAGGTCCTTTCTCAAGAAGGAGAGGCCTGATTTTAGCTGAGATCTGCCCCCAAAAGGGGCTGGCGACCTGACCCCCTGAAGCAAAGTGGGCCTGGGAAACAGGCCCCAGGTGCATGGTCCCTAAGTCTTCTCCAGCCCAGGTCATGGCGAGGAGAAAGTCGGGCCAGGTGACAGCTCAAGCACTCCAGGCTGCCGGGCAAGGCAGCCCCTGGCTCAGAGGGGCCGTGTGGTGTGGTTATAGACCAGATGTTCCATGTCCTCAGTGGTAGAGATGGTGGAGCTGGCTGGAGTGGAGGGCGGGGCGTGGTGGCGGCGGTGGCGATGTCTGTGGAAACCCTTTTTCTGGTTCTTGAAGAAGCAGTAACCCAGAATGGCGAGCACCACCACGATGCAGGTGGCCAGGAGCACCCCAATGGCCACCTCCACAGAGCCTGGGGGGAAAAAGGAGCCGGAGGAGGAGACAATGAGTCCCAACAGCACCTGCTCAACGGCACCCACCCTGCTCAGCTGGAAAAAATCTGATTTGAGAGGTCTTAGTGGAGAGCATGCCTCCCGACTAAGTTTCCCAATGCTCATGAAAAGATCCTGGAACTTGGCTAGGATTTTATTAACTTACATATTTTTCATTTTTTTTATTTTTTCCCTTTTTGGGTCACACACACACACACACATTCCTTGCCCTTGCACTCAGGAATTACTCCTGGCGGTGCTTGGGGGACCATATGGGATGCTGGGAATCGAACCCAGGTCAGCCGAGTGCAAGGTAAATACCCTACCTGCTGTGCTATCACTCCAGCCCTACATTTTTTTTTTAATTTTAGTTTTTAAAAAAAATTTTTTTGGGGAGGGAACGGAGTGATAGTAGAGTGAGTAGGACATTTGTCTTGCATATGGCCGACCAGAGTTCAATCCCTGGCATCCCATAAGGTCCCCCAAGCACCCCCAGGAGTAATTTCTGAGTATCACTAGGTGTGACCCAAAAAGCAAAAAAAAAAAAAAATGGAGGTGAGGGGGGACTTCTTTTGGGGCTATACCCAGTGGTGCTCAAGGACCATATTGAGTGCTGAGGTAAGCACTCCACCTGTTGTACTATTGCTCTGGCCCCAACTTAATTTTTTTGTTTTGTTTTGGGCCACATCCAGCGATGCTCAGGAGTTACTCCTGGCTCTGCACTCAGGAATCATTCCTGGCGGTGCTCAGGAGACCATATGGGATGCCGGAGATTAAACCAGGTTTTAGACAAGGCATGCATCCTACCTGCTATAGTATTGCTCTGACCCCCAACTTAATTTTTCAAAGTTTGTTTTTGGGCCACATTGAGCAGTGCTTAAGAGTAACTCCCAGTTGTGCTGGGGGGTCATGGTGAGGACAAAACCTAGGGCTCCTGCAAGCACAGTTGATCTAGCTTGGCTAGGATATTTTTAGGGGTTCCACACTGGATGATGCTACTCAAGCATGATTCCTGGCTCATTGCTCAGGTTCATGCAATATCCTGGATTGAGCCTTGACCTCCTGCATGCAAAGCAAGTGCTCAGCCACTGAGCTAGCTCTTTGGCTTGGCTAGGATTTGCTTGGTGTGTATGGGACCAAACCCAGAATCTCATACATGCTAGGCTGTGTGCGACCACTCAGCCATATCCTCAACCTCAGTCCTGGTGCTGTGCAGCGAGCTTATATAGAAGGAATTCCCCATGGCAGGTATGTCCACTAAGTGTGGCTCTGTCCCCTTAGCCACCCTCAGGATCCTTCTCCATCCGACCCAGGCAGTCCCACCAGTCATGCACACTCAATCCTGGGTTGGTTCCTATTTAACTGGGACAGGGCAGACCAGGACTTACCCACAGAGGGAATGGGGTTTTCCCGCCGCAGGCCAAACACATCCTTTTCTACAAAATGAGAGGGAGGAAAGATAACAATAAGAAGTTCTGCGACTTGGCTACTCCCTCATGCTCTCGCTCCCACACCCATTCCAGGCAGACGAGATATGACCAGGCCAGCCAGGACCAAACTGAGGGCTCTATCCTCAAGTCCCCTGGCCTGCCTTGCTTACTAGAGATGCCCCTACAGGACTCAAGGCACTGGTGCTCCTCCTCAAAGTTGTTCTGATTGCCTTGACAACCGCCGTAGGTAAAACGTTCGCAGCTCTCACTGAAGGGGTTGTAGTACCAGCGGGGGATGCTCTCACTGCACAGCCCCGTGTATGGCAGGTCCACGCAGTGCCCTGGGAGGTCAGGTATGTGCAGAGAGGTGAATCACTCAATCAAGCCTTCCTGATCCCTCCACCAAGCTTCACATGGCTGCTGCCGCAAAACATCTGGCTTATCTGCAGTGCTGCCCAAGCCAGAAAGACAATTCTTGAACAATCAGCTTAGGTACAGAAGTAAGTGATGCCAGCTCTGGTCCAAACTTACTTTTTCAGTTTAATTTCAGCTTTTCTGTGTGTATGTGGTGCGTGTGTGTGTGTGTGTGTGTGTGTGTGTGTGTGTGTGTAAAACACATGGTACTCCAGGCTTACTCCTGGCTCTGTGCTCAGAGATCACTCCTGGTAGTGCTCAAGAGAACCATATACAGTACCAGGGATCGAACCAGGGTCAATGTTGTGTGAGACAAGTTCCCCACCCAGGATACTATTTCCTTTTTAACACATATCTTTAAAAAAGTAATTGGGGGGTCGGAGAGATAGCTCAACAGGCTGAGGGGCATATTTTGCGTGAACATGATGGGAGTTTGATCCCCACACCTCATGATTTCTAGAGTACTGTAATCCCAAAGAACAGATAACCCCTGATAAGTGCTGGGTGTGGCGCCAAGACTTGTGCCTGGGATATAGTTTATTCAGTAGTAGAGCACCTTCTTTGCATGCATAAGCCCTTGGGTTCAATCCCTGGCAGCAGAGACCAAAGTGGTTAACACATTTAGTAAATACTATTGCTTCAATAGTATTTGACCTGGGAAGGTGTGGAGAAGTCATGCTAAAGAGAGTGGGGGAGCCCAGCCCCAGACAGCTGCACAGCTGCAGCAACAGCCCTGGCCCTGGCCACCGAGAACTCACCTTTGTCACTGGCGAAAGGGATGCTCTGCAGCTCCTCGAAGCCACTGGCATCTGCAAAATTAAAGATCAAAGGCACAGGTTGAACAAGGAGGGGCTCCCACACCTGCTAGGGTGGACAGGCTCTCCATCTCACGGAACTCACATTTTTCGCAGGCGGCCTCATCAGAGGCATCAGGGCAGTCAGGGGTGTCGTCACACTCCAGGAAGCTGTCGATGCAGCAGCCATCGTTGCAGCGGAACTCGGTGGTTTTACAGAGGGTAGAACACACTGTTGGAGCCGTGGCACCCGTGCGGAAGAGAGGTGAGGGGCGAACAGAGGCCAGCACACCCCAAGGGTTTTCTATCCCCACCCAACCAGGACACAGGCTGCCCCGTCTTTGACCTGCCCACCCGACGGGGAAGGTCCTGACTAGGGGCTGCTGCTGTAGGGGCAGTGCTAGGAGGGGTGGGCAGGGCTTCCTTGCACCTACAGGGGGCAGGAACTGGGCTAAGGCAGCTGGGTCTGGACATTAGGGCAGGGGAAGAAGGAAAAAGCCAAGCCTACCTGGAAGATGCCTTTCCGTTGAAGGGCCTGGGAGAGAGGAAAACATAGATGTAAGAGCAAAGCAAGGCGGGCTCAGGCGGGGATGAGTCAGTTGGGAGTGGGAATGCCCTGCACCCACCTCCCTAAGTACAGAACACACGCACTTTGGGGGGATAGCCACCCGAATCCCTGACTCCCTGCGAAGGCCCACCTTGCACATTGCGGCAGGCCAGCCTGCACTCTTCTTCCCGCAGGTAGTTGTTCTTGTTGCCCAAACAACCTCCGTAAGTAAAACTCTTGCAGAGCTGATCTTTGGGGTCATAGTACCAGCGGGGAAAGGAGCCACGGCAGCGGCCCACCTTGCTGGCCGCCAGGCAGTATTCTGGGAGGGGAGGAAACCTGGTCAGAGGGGCCCATCGGCAGATGGGGAAGCTCCAGCGTTGGCCTCTCCCACCCCCCTCACCTTCCGTCTGCTTGGCAGACAGCACCGTGATGGTGATGTTGGATGGGGTGTCGGGCTGCTCTGCGCTGGGCACTGTCAGCTGGAACAGGTAGGTGCCTTCCTTGAGTCCCCACAGCTGCACCTGGTCCGGGTCTTTCTTCTACACATGGGAGAGGCCGTCAGGTGGCACCTTCTGGTGCCGCTGGGCTTTCCCCAGGCCCTTCCAGCTGTCTTTCCCACAGGGAGAGCAGAGGAAGAGGACAGTAGGTGTACCCTCAACTTCTAACCACCTGTTTGCAACCACTGCTTGGCATACAGCCCAGAAAGCAGGCCCTGGGGAGATGTGGGGTCAGGGCGCCGGTCCAGAGCTCACCTCAATCCTGACGGCTGGGTCATCCTGCAGCAGGCGCCAATCCATGTTGTCCACCCCTTTCAGCTCCAGGGGTTCCTGGGGCTGCACCTTCAAGTCAAGGCCAGCCCAGGCCTTCGGAATCCTGGATCCTGGGGAAGGTGGGATAAGGTCAGCTCTCACTGAAGGGCCCTGATCCCTCCTGGGGGACAGGAGACAGTACAGAACAGCCCAAGACCAACTAGGCCTGGCAGTTTGCAAGGCCGCAGACACAAGTTCACACTTATCATCTTGTTCTCTGTTTAGTTAGTTCTTTGGTGCATGAGAACTTTTTTGTTTTGTCTCGGGCCCACACCTGGTGGTGCTGAGGGGTCACTCCTGATAGGCTTGGGGGACCTTATGGGATATGAGGGATCAAACCCAAGTCAGTTGTGTGCAAGGCAAATGCTCTACTCGCTATACTATTGCTCAGACCCCTACACTGAAGACATTTTTCATTTTGTTTTGGTTTTTGGGCCACCCTGGGTGGTGCTCAGGGTTTACTCCTGCACTCAGGGATCATTCCTGGTAGGACTCGGGAACGGGACCATATGGGGGCCAAGAGTTAAAGTCAGATTGGCTGCATGCAAGGTAAGTGCCCTACCTGCTGTAGGTATCACTATCACTCTTACCCCACTGGAGATATTTTTAGATGGTAAAACTCACTTTTTGAAGCAAATAGCATGTGCCAACTGAAGCTATTTAGGAAAAAAAATTAGGAAAAAATACATTTCTAGAAGATATTTGGGGGAGAAAATAAAAATATTTGTTTTCTACAATAAGTAGGTATATATGCTACTTGCCTTAACTAATTAAAGAAACAGTCTTTTCCTTAGCTATACCTTGCCGTTCTCAGGGCTTACTCCTGTCTCTGCACTCAGAGATCATTCCTGGCAGTGCTCAGTTACCATATATAATTTTGAGGACTGAACTCATGTTGACTGCATGCAAGTGTTTTACCCTCTGTACCATCTCTCCAGCACCAGAAATCATATGTATTTACTTTTTGGGTCACACCTGGCAATGCTTAGGGGTTATTCCTGGCTCTATACTCAGGAATTACTCCTGGCAGTGCTCAGGGGACCATATGGGACATCAGGGATCAAACTCAAACCCAGGTCAGCTGCCTGCAAGGCAAAAACGCCCTACCCCACTGTACTATCACTTTGGCCCAATGATATTTTTGAAAAGCCAAGTAAGTAAATGTGTACTGTTCACTGTTGAGAAAGTTCATCCCAATCCTTAAGCAGAGCCCCTGGGTAGTGACACACTGTGCTATCTCCTTCACCCTAATAAGTATATCATTTTTGTTTGTTTTGTTTTAGGGTCACACACAGCTGTGCTCAAGGCTTGCTCCTAGCCCTGAGTTCAGAGATCACTCCTGATGGGCTTGAGGAAGCATATGAGGTGCCAGGGATCGAACCTAGATTGGCTGCATGCAAGGTAAGTGTCCTACCCACTCCACTATCAATCACTCCGGTCCGCCTCACAAGCGTCTTTATGAGAGGACAGAGTGAAGGAGTCTGAACTTACTGTCCATGGGGAAATCTCTGATCTGTGATCCCAGGTTGTGTAGGAAATGTCTCAGTCACACACATTCAGAAATGCTCTATTCTCTACACCATATACCCCAGGCGAGCTTGCTTTGTATTCCCAATCCCTACATGCTACCCCCTGTCACCCAGGGTTTTCCAGGTTTTCGCCTGAGACAGTATGCTCGTCTTGCTTTACTGCTAGAATGGCTCCTTGCAGGGAGATGAAGCCTGCGCTGGGCAGAATTCCCCCTGAGGTCTCTGCTGTGTCCCTCTGACCAGGACTCTCTAAGGAAACTACTGCTTTGCTTTTGTCTGAAGTCTCTTTCTTTAATATATTTTTAAATGTATTACCGTGAGGTACAGTTACAGACTTACAAACTTTCATGATTACATTTCAGTCATACAATGATTGAGTACCCATTCCTCCACCATTAAGTCATTTTCTAATCAAGTTTAGTTCCCACCTCCCCTCCCTTTGAGATCTGGATCCAAGCGACCCACTTAAGAAAGCAGAGGAAACACCACATGAATACAGAGGTCAAGACTGAAAGGGCCGGGGCAATAGTATATGGAGTAGGGTGTTTGCCTTGCCTGTGGCTGACCCAGGTTCAATCCCTTGCACCCCATAATGCATCCCACAAGGTCCCCCAAGCATTGCTTGGTGTGTTCCAAAAAGAAAAAAAAATGTCTGGAGGTGCTGCTGATAAACCAAGGCGAGCCCAGGGAGGGAAGTAGGGAGGTGTCCTCCTGAGGGTCTGCAGAGGAGGTGGCCCTGCTGACATCTTCATTCAGCCCTATGGGCACCTGATCTGAAACAAGCAAATATTCTGTCCCTGAGAGGATTCCGGGCTGGTTAGGCAGATACGGCCCAGGACCATGAAGTGAAGATGAAGTGTGGTGTGTGGTATGTACACAAGACATGGGAGAGGCCAGGGCGGGCTGAAGGAACAAGGCCAGGGTTTTGGAGGGTTTTTTGTTGTTTGTTTTCTTTTCAATGCTAGGGATCAAAACCAGGATGCCAAACAAAGGAGGCCAGAGCCCTCCCACTGAACCACATCCCCAGCTCAGGTAATTCTGTTTCAATCTTTATTTCCTTTAATTGTGGGGAAGCGAATGCTAGTGTTATGCTGTTATGGCAGCAGAAAGCAGAATGGGCTCAAGGAAGAAGTTGGGAATACGCCTAGTTCGGTGGGTCAGAAGGCCCGGGGAGGGCGCGGTGGGGGGGGGGGCAGGCAAGGCATGTGGGCACAGCAGAAACCATGGGACATTTGGAGCAGCCAGAGTGATAGTCCAGTGGGTAGGGTGCTTGCCTTGCATGGCCTGAATTCAATCCCCAGAGCCCCACTAGGAGTGATTCCTGAGCTCAGAGCCAGGAATAAGTCCTTGAACACACTGGGTATGACCCAAAAAACTTCTTTATCACTTGACATCCCTTTACTCATCGATTTGCTCTAGCAGGCACCAGTAATATCTCCATTTGTTCTGTCGCATGCTAGTGTAGCCCAATGGCATCTACTCGTTCTAGAGCCCTCAAACCTTTTGTACAAGGTCTTGACAAAGAAGTTTAACCATCTCGTAGGTGGGCGGCCATGTGATCTTTTGACATCCCGTGGAATCCAGTTGGTAATGGCTCTAGTCCAGCAGTTGTCTCCAAATCTCATTACGTGTCCAGCCCATCTGATTTTCGACGCCCTGGCAAATGAGACAGCGTCCTTGATTCTCGATCGTCGACAGAGATCGGAACTCTGGATTCTTTCTCTCATTTGAGTGAAGCGTGATACTCCAAGCATAGCTCTTTCGATTCCTCTTTGGGAGACCCGAATAGCATTCTCATCCTGTTTTCGTAGGGCCCACGTCTCTGAGGTGTATGTTAATGCAGGAAGAACAGAGGAATCAAAGAGATGTGCCCAGATCCAAAGGTTCTTTGTCCTCTTAGCTTTTTTTTTTTTGCTTTTTGGGTCACACCCTGAGATGCACAGGAGTTACTCCTGGTTCATGCACTCAGGAATTACTCCTGGCAGTGCTCGGGGGACCATATGGGATGCTGGGAATCGAAGCTAGGTTGGCTGCATGCAAGGCAAATGCCCTACCTGCTGTGCGATTGCTCCAGCCCCCAGTCCTCTTAGCTATTTCTTCAATGCTCTTGAAGGCGTTCTAAGCCGCTCTCTTCCTCCTGCGCAATTCAGGTGGCAGGTCATTCATAATATTGACTTCTAGACCTAGGTACACATAACTGTTGCATTCAGAGATGTTCGTTTTTTTGAGAGTGAATGGAATGTCAGGAACGAGACTGTTTCTCATTAACACTGTCTTCGTGAGATTCAGCTGTAGTCAGACCTTTCCACACTCACGGTTGAAGTCGGCCAGCATCTGTGCTGCTTGGATAATGTCTGGTGTTATTAGAACGATGTAATCAGCAAAGCGGAGATGGTGTAGTTGCCGACCGTCTATCTTCACTCCCATTCTTCTCATTCCAGTCGTTGCATGATGTTCTCGAGGGTGGCACTGAAGAGTTTCAGTGAAATGGTATCACCCTGCCGAACCCCTCTCTTGACATAGATGATCACTTCCTTGTAGAATGGTGAGATCCTGGTAGTGAATCCGTAATACAGCTCACGGAGGATCCTGATGTATTGAATTTGAACTCCATTTGTCTAGGGCTTCAATGACCGCTTCCGTCTCAACAGAATCAAAGGCCTTCTTTAAATCAATGAACGTCAGACAGAGCGGCATCTTCAACTCCCGAGAAACCTCAATGAGCTTGGTTATCGTGTGGATATAGTCAATCGTGCTGAATCCTTTTCCAAACCCGGCTTGCTTGCATGGTTGTCCTTCATCTAGTGTTCTGCCAATCCTATCCAGGATGACTCGAGTGAACAGCTTGCACACGACAGACAACAGACAGATCGGGCGATAGTTGCCAATGTTGTGGAGGTCTCCCTTCTTGTACAGTAGTACAGTTCTGCTGGTTTTCCACTGGGATGGAACCTTGCATTCAGAGAGGTAGCGTGTGAAGAGCCGAGCCAGAGTATTGATGAGTACTAAGGGCAGATTCTTCAGGTGTTCGGGTCTGACCTTGTCTGAGCCGGGTGCTGTTCACTTCTTTACCAAAGAAATGGCATGTCAGATTTAGGAAGGAAGAACGTTGGGAACGACATATCCATCCTGTGGAATTTGGTATGTGGACAGGTGGACGTGGCTATCGAAGAGATCTGAGTAGAAGTCATGGATAATCTTCTCTATTGCCCTTCTGGAAGATGTGATAGATCCATGAGGAGGTCGGAGGGCAGTCATCTTGGTCTTGTAGTTGGCAAAGGACAGGCAGGTATTGCAAATGCTTTTCCCAGCTTCTGCCGCATCTGCCAGCACTGCTGCTCTTCTCTCTTTGAGGTCTTCCTTTATTAATTCTCTTCACTGCTTTGCAAGCTCGGACATTTGCTGGCGGTTGCCTGAGGCTTGTGCCAAGCCATGTTGATGAATGAGCTTGAGAGTGTTCGAAGACAGGCATCTTTTTGTGGCTATCTCTCTCTTGGCATTCCTCGCACAATCATGGAGGTGCTGAACCAGTCAATCGTATT